TTCTAGAAGATCCAACGCTCGGTTTCAAACTTGTCCTCTTGTTTGAAAGGGATCACCATCCTGGCGAGGGCTGTAGTGCTACTGTGTGAACCCACCGGTGATCCTTCTCTTGTGTCACCCTCTGGAGTCCAAGCTCCTCATCTCTTTGATGCCTTCGAGCTCCTCCTGAGGGAGCGACAGATGCAGGGCTGCTCCTCGGCGCACGTTCTTATGCTGCCTGGACCATGAGGCTGCCCAGGGCAGAATCTTACACTAGTCTGGAACATTGGCTCCAAAAGCTGCTTTTTTAATCTTAATGAAAGAAACAAATGGAAAGAATCTGTACATATTTCTAGTTTTCTACCTTCTGATGCTTTTCTTTCTTTTAAGACCAGTCGAAGGCTTTTTATAGAGATATTTTGGTACTAAACCCGTGCAGACATTGAGCGAGTTTGGTCTGCAGACTGAAGTGCCAATTCAGGGCTATTAGTAATGACTCTTGAACATTATTGTTCTATTTCATAGCTCGTTAATTTTGGGTTTACATTTACAAACCTGAGCCATGAATCTCCCAATTTACCCTTACGGCAGTCCAGCCTTGTTCTTTTTTGTCTTTTTTCTATACCAGACTTCTTTGCAACCTTTAGCTTGGATGGCAAACCAGTCTCTGACTCTTTCTATACAATTTTGTAAACGGTGACTTAGTTTTTCTACATGAAGGAGATGATACTTCGTTTCCCATTCTTTGTCAACACCTCGTCAGCTTGCTTTTAATCCTGGTGACAGTTTTCCGATACCCGATTTCTTGCAGAGTAAGAACCACAGTCCCTACTTAACCATCGCTGTCTCTGATGGAAACGGGGGTTTTGTGTCGGCCAGAATTGTACCTCTGACACTACACGGAATATTTGTGCACTGATGTGTATTGATGACAACTGTAGAGAATTAGCAAGAGACAAGAGTATTTGTCATTTCTTGGTAGTATCAGCAAGTTTGCAGGCCCTATTATATGCATTTCTGTCCTTGCCCTAAATTCTAAGTCATGTCAACATCCGCACAATCTCTAAATGTAATGGATCGTTTCCTTTGTAACTTGAAATCCTTGGGTTTTTTTCTGAGAAATCTTACTGTGTTGGACCTTTTTAAGCGTGGCAAGTAGAGAAATAAACAAGGAAATCGCCTTTGTTGGAACGGGAGCGCAAAAAATTCCCTACAAAAGCATTTTGCAACTCTGCCCTCCAAAGAGGGAAACACTCGGGTGGTTTCTTGGGAGGCAGAGCTCGTTAGCGGACAAACGGACCAGATCGGAGCTACTCGCGCGGTCGATGCGCGGCGCGATCAGCAGAGACTCCTGCCAGGCCCCTCGGGAGCAGTGTGGGGTGTAACACGCTGGGACCGGGTTTTTCCTTGGGTTCTCTGGTGTTCACGGTGCCGGCAGCGAGGTCTGGGCGCTGCTCTGTAGGGAAGGGCTTGGCCCCTGCCGGTGCGTGCTGGGCGCCGTGGGGGAGAGAGCAGCGAGGTGGGGTCTGACCGCGCGGCAGAGGGTCCCTCCTCTCCTCCTGGTCCCTTGACTTGCGCCCCAGAACAATTCCAAGCCGCTGCCGGTAGCAAGGTGTGTGCGTTGGCGACGGAGCGGGAAGTGTGTTGGTGCCTGGAGGGAAGTCAAACTTCTACGGGCTTTTGTGCGAAGGAACTGCTCATTGTGGATTTACTGTAGGTTTAGTGTCTGTGAAAAATGAGAATGGCCTGATCTGAAACAGAGGTAGGGAGGGACAGATTAAGAAAACACAATTTGAAGATTTGAGGTCAAATGGTTTTATTTCTGTGAGGAAGTTGATTGATTTTTTTTTTTAAATTTATTTTTACTCTTTAAAAAGTTATGGTTTAGATTTCAAAATTAAATACACTTTAATGGATTCATTTACACATTTTAAAGTAGTATTTTACTTTGTCCTTCCTGTGGTTTTTTATTTTTCGGTTGACATAAATGCAGGTTACCTTGTCTTGATTGTGTAAGGTGTTGCTGGGTAATAAATCTACTGATCCTTTATAGCAGACTGTGAATACTGTAAATAGCTTGCGATGGAAGGGTTGTGTGGGATCAAAGAAGACATTCTTTGTACAAACACTAAAAGGATATGGGAAAGCTCTGTAGGTTTGGTTTAGAATTTTATTTAAGAGAAAAAAAATCTCTGAAATCATTTGGCCTTTTCAAAAATTTATGTATATCTGAGTTCTCCTGTGACGATTTATTTTAAGCTATATATATGTATTAAAACGTTAGAAGAACTTGACTAGGCGAAAGAGTTTTCAATTGGAAATAGCAACATGTCAAAGTTTTGCTGTCATTACTTCAGGTTTTTCTTATGGAGATCTGAGTCTGTCCTCACATGTCATGTTTCACTTCTGTGTATTCAAATGTTTTTGTTTCTCCTTTTCAGTGTTACCTGTAATATGTTGGTTCTTTTGGATCAGTATTATATTGTAAATATTACGCATCGGTGTATATAAATGATTTTACTAAACTTAAAAGTTAGTGGCTGCTTTTGTTTGCTTCCCACGTCCCCGTAGTACAGAGGGGAGGCAGGAAGGACAGCTGTGGGCTGGAGGGAACAGCACGCCGCTCCTCCTGCCACGCTCCGTCCCCCCCCCCGCCTGTCTTACCCATGTGAGTGAGCACTTTGCTTTCTATTTTGCAGGAGTGCCGTGAGGCTTTGAGGGGAAACAATGACCGACAGGACAGGCTGGATAGAGCCCCAAAACCGGCCTCTTTTACACGCTGCTTTCCACTAGATGGCAGCAGTACATGCCCAGTGCTACCAGTTAAACCCGCAGCGTCCATAGGCTTTTTCTTGGACTTCGGGCAGTCAGGGAAGGGAGGGATGAGCTGTGCTGTGTTCGGGGGCAGTCCCTGGCAGGGCGCTGCTTTAGGGCAGGGACTAGGAGCCGGTTCCTTTAGGGTGATGGTCTCTGCAGGGTGCTGCGCTTCACCGAAAGCGGCTGGAGCGGGAGCCCCGCAGGGACTTGTGGCAGGACTGGCAGCTTGGGAGAGTTCTGGCGTTCTGGGAGCCGGGGCGATGAGGGAGCCGGGGCGATGAGATGCGATGCCAGGGAGCACCGGAGTCGTCCTCCTCGGCTCTTAGGCTGTCAGCCCTTCTGAACCCGGACTGGTGCCGACAAGCGTGGCACTCATACGCTTTCTGGCTCTGGAGATATTGTTCTCCTCGAGCGTGGTTTGACTGGCTGGTTGACAGCAGCCAGGTCTAGACCCTTGTCACATGAGCATTTCGGAGCAAAAGAGGCAGTGGGACAGCTCTGAGTGCACGTGGGCCCCAGGCCATCTCTGTAAGAGCTGACATCCACCTGCTTGGTACCTCGGAGGAGTTAACAGTGCCTCGGGTAGTGAACGGCTAAGAGCAGCCATAGCATTAGGATGGGGAATGAGAGACCAATTTCCAAGCATCCTGGGAGTGTTTAAGGCAGCCAACCCCGCTGCAGGTGCTCTATGGAAGGGGCACAAGAAAAGACTGCTGGAAGGATGTGTGGCCCGAAGAATGCCTCTCCCTTCCCAGCAAGAAAACTCCCCTCAGATAGTTAAAACATTCAGGGACATGTCCTGCCGAGGGGAGGATCTGCCAACAGACACTGAAGGCTCTCACCACTGCAGCTGAAGGTCCCCTTAGCAGCCAAATCATTGTTCCCCTGGTAATCTTCTATTGCTTTCCACTTAATCCCCTTTCAAAACAATTGCTGTAGCAGCACTGGCTCATCGTGCTCTCAGCAAACAGGGTCAGGCCAAGCAGGGTGCAGCAGGCTCTCAGCGATGAGATTGGGGTGTGTTTAATGTGGTGTCGGGGGGTGGCTCCCATCCAAAATAAAGTGTTTAGGACAGTGACTGGGGGCACCATTCCCATTGCCCTCATTCTGATTCAGCTCTCCTCGTTGCTGTAACCAAACACAGAAAGGCAATAGCTGCGTTTTCCAGTGCAAGTTGAGCCACAGAGAGAAGTGAGACTCCTGCAGATGAGGAGCAGAGGAGTACAGAAGAATATGTTTAATAAAAAAACCTGAAAGCAGTGGGAAACCCACCAGCTGAGGTTTGGAAAGGACTGTGGGGCCGTCCCTGAAGCTGGACTGCTAGTCCCAGGAGATTTTCCACAAAGTGATTTACACAACATAACTGTGTAAACTGTATGAAAGTTAATTACACAAAACTTGAGTATTTCCTCTTCTTGTATTACCTACTCTGTAAATACACTTGGGCTGGACCCAAAAAGTGAAGCTGTTGTCAAAAAATAAAAGGGTGTAAAAGTTTGAGTTGTTTTCAATGCAGCTAAAGACCAATTTTCTATAAAATGGTGGGACCTTAGTAAATAACTCATTTGAACACCTAGAAGAGCATAGACAGATTCATGCAAAGTCCTGCTCACCTGGTTCATGACAGCTGCTCCACCAGGTCGAAGAAGATTGCTTTTCTGAATTAGCTGAGCAAGAGTTGCCACGAAGGACAGAAGGAAAATGTGCAAAACGTCAAGGTACAGAAGCAAGGGCTGATTTTTTTATGCTGCTTTGCAATTTTTCATTCCTTGCAGTTGGCTGTTAGTATGATACATGGTCTTATTTTTATAGTGAATTAAAAGTCAGAGATTGAAAAATATTCACCTTTGCTTTACTGTTAATTTGTAATGGCAAATACTTAGGTAAAACATCCTTTGACCAACTACCCTCAAAGGAGCTGTACCAGATCTCTGAGCGGTTATGTACAATTTGCTGCATTTCTAGAGATATTTCCAAAAGGCGTCTGTACTAAAGATTTACCATGGATTTAAAGAATCCATTTACAGTCCATACAAAACTTTAAAATAAATAACTATCTTCACTGAAGTGTCTGTCTCTGACAGATCTGCTCAGGCTCCTCCAGCACCACCCCTAACTGCTGCCGGCCAGACCATTCGCAGCAGACAGCCCCGTACCAGCTCTGGCCGACACGGCTAAACCACGAGGATGCTGCCAGGGATTCATCAGAGCAGGGTGGACGTGGACGCCTCCGCGTCCGGCGGGCTGGCGGGGAGCGTGCTGGCGTAGAACTTCTTCTGGGAGCGCAAGAGAGGAGTCTGAGTGTCGACGTCCCGGCAGGCGTTGCGTTTGAGGGAGAGGAAGACGTGCTGTGTCCAGCCGTACACGACGCTGGGAAGCTGCTGTCAGCGCCTGGGAGAGACCACAGGGGAGATCAGGGCTGTCTTGGCCAGCACTGCGCAGCATGCCGCGGCTCCCGCCCAGGCTGTCAAACCCAGCATGTTAAGCCAAGCACTTCCAGCACGATTTTATCTACCTGCACCCCCGTGTGATATAGGAATCTCGTGGTTATTTTAATAAACTTTGCAAAATGCTGCCTTAGGCACAAGGAGCTGGACAAGTGTTGTGGAGGAATTGCATTTGGGGACTTTCATAGAAAGGGAAAGAAACTGATTTCTGGGGATCCTTTCTAGTCCTATTTCCTACCATTTTCACAACGCTGTGATTTTGGTCACCAAGACCTTTTCAAGCCTGTGAAAAAGATAAAACAACCAACCAAAGATCTCTGCTGACCAAAATCAGACTCAGGCTCACACAGCGGTGGTGTGAGGAGCACGCTTTGCCCAGCAGGGACTAGAGCAGGCAGAGACTAGCATGCCTGTTCAAGCCGAGAAGGCAAAACAGAAGGCTGCAGAGGAAGACATTTACCTGTAGAATAAGAAGAGCCATGTAGATTTTGCTGTTTGTTGAAACAGTCAGCTTCAGTATTCCGAGGAGGACAGCTGTGAGAAGGGACAGACAAGAGGGTACTGCTTTCAGCCCACCTCTGTGGAGTTGCGTTGCCAGGCACTATGGCCTCGGGGGGTCTTGTGAGAGTAACTCGGCTCTCTGCTCACCTGGGGCCCAGCAGCAGAAGAACGCGATGGGGTAAAAAACCACTCGTTGTTCTACCATCTTAATCATGGCCCACTGCTGATCCCCCAGGAATCCTGTGGAGTTTACAAACCTTTTGTACAAACCTCGGGCTTGACTGAGTATAACCTGGAAAAGAACAAGCATCCATCACTGTTTGGGCACATGCTCCGATCTGGCTTGTTCATCTAGGACAGAGTAGCCCATTTCCATCTGGCAAACCTTTTCAGGCAACCGGGTGCTCCCTGGGGGAGAGCAGTTTCTTGGTATGTGACCTTTTCTGAACCAAAAGGCTCTGAATTGAGTCAGGCTCTTGTTGACCCATGCACTAGGTGATCTCTGCTGCCGCGCTCCAAGCCTTCTCTACCTGCTAAATCCTTTTGGGGACGGGTTGACAGAACGCGGGACTCCAGATGGACTCATATGGCGGCACAATGATATTTTTGTCTCCCCTACCACCCCTTCCAAAAGCACCACACAGTTCTTCCCCTGACATTGCCTGGCCTCTGGTACCATCCAAATAAGATGTAAAGATGAAAAGGGGAAAATCTTCTCACACTGATCATCTAGGTGCCATGGCTAGTGTGCAAGGACCACGTTTCTTACCAGAATGGCTATGAAGCTGATCAGAAAGGAAATGAGGAAGACCCCGATGCCGTAGAAATGCATCGCACGGCAAACAGAGCCGCTCAGGGTTTGCGGCTCGTTGGTGGGCACAGCGATTTCTGTGTGCATCAAGAGACATCTGTGGGGAGAAAGGGAACAGCCTGAGCTCCTGCCGCGCCTTGTGAGCAGTGGGGCTGTTTCAGAGGCACGTGAAGCTTACCCGTGCTTTTGGCTGAAGTTCTGGTAGCAATTACTGCTGTTGCCCAGGCAAAACACAGGCACCATGAGAAGGAAAGGGATCAGGCTAAGAGGAGAAAGGACAACGGCACAGTTATTAGTTATTGCACTGCGCTGCTCCCACCCCAAACTAAACACTACTTGGGTTTTCTTCTGTCACTATAGAGGACTTCAGAATTGTTTTTATCGATGCTGCTCTGGAAGAATATTTCACCAGCTTTACTAACTTCTGCACTTGCATTCATGGAGGCAATACACGGGTAAAGGGAGCACTTTCTGAAAAACTACACATCGTTAATGTCGTTAAAACTAACTTGGCTGGAGAAGGGCCCTTGCATACAAACCCTCTGAGTTCATTAGGTCACTGCTGTTACTAACGAGCTTTACAGGTTTTAGTAAAACTTGCTTCAGAATAAGTAGGAAGCAGAGATCAGCACACCACAGTTTACCAAAGCCACATCATTCTGCCAGAGAGAATTAAATCTTACCTGGATGAGATCGTTGCTATTCGGCCAATGCAACTCGCATAATCTGCAACCTGCAAAGTCCAAAGAGCTTAATCAAACGATTGCTTCCCTACAGCCCCTCCCAGGGACCACTTCAGCGGCCGAGGGTTCTTCAAACGCTGATTAATCCCCAGACCGAGCACAAATATTTGTTTCCACTTCGCACTGAATCAGCACCGCTGAGTTCAGGCTGTGCCGATCTGCGACAGCAACACCCGAAGGTGCTACCTGCTACTTGGCTTGCTCTCCTTCAGGACTGGAGAAGGGAACTTGGAACTGGACAAGGAGCAGACACTTGATGAGCTCTCTGGTGTAACCTACTCATTTTTTGGTACTGTTCATTCACTTCACCTGGCCCTGTTCCTCAGAAACTTCATGTTCTGATGAAGCAATGCAGGCAATTTGGAGCGTCCTGGTCCCTGCTCACCAGGAAATGTACTTTGGCAGCTTCATCCACCCCCCAGCTCTGACAACACCATGTGGGCACAGCTGTAGTGGTGGGGATCTTATGGTAGGTGGCATGTTTAGAGTGGGGGATCCAGCAAGAAGGAAACCAGTCCTGCAGGTGGGTCCAAACCCTACGGATGAGAGCTCTTGAAATACAGGCTGACCTGCCCAGTCTGCTGCTCCCGAACCGACCGACAGAATATCTGGGACCCAAAGTTTGCTGTGCACAGCAAATGTCTGGGGAAGAAGAAAGGGGGCTGATGGGTTCAACGGGAAGAGCTGCACCAGGAATCTGTCACCTTGCAGGAATACATCAGGAGGGACACACCGGTCATGGCGATGGCGGTGCCTCGCTGTTTAGCCAGGGGTGAGGCACGAAACAACTGCAAGGAGGGATTTTTGGTCACGCGGTACATGAAGTGTTTGTTCAGCCTGCACCACAGAGAGCATTTTTCTGAGTACTATGTCCTTGTTCCTCGGTTCCCAGCGATTACACCAGTTCCCCAAAGGGCTTTTGTAAAGGCCAGCGATGATGAAGTGAGGACTGGCCCGCTGTTCACAGAGCCAACTGCTCCTTTTATCGCTAGCTCACTTCCGTCACACCTCCTATCTCAAACTCTTACAATCCTTACCGATGCTCTCGAACGCTGTATGACACCTGGGAAGGACAGAAATTGTCTGTTCTCAGTTCCAGGCTGTCCAGGCACCCCCTGGCAGAAGGCAGTGACAGCAACAAATCAGTTACTCAGCTGGTGCAAACTGCTGTTGTTCGAACTGCAGAAGAACTTCCCCAACACCCAGCCCTGAGCTTTCTCTGCTCTGAGGTGCACGCTGCCATTGGCCTTCGTCTGCTTCGGTCTTGCAAGCCTGATCTTCCACTGAGATGCTACAACAGGCCCAGCAGTATCTCTGCTGACCTCGGTGGGCAAGACACGTCTGTTCACACAGCTGAAGGGCCTTCGAAGTCCTCGTGGTGAGATATACTGTTGTGTATGCACCTCCTAAACCCCACCACAGCCAGACCTTGGTACCCAACAGCTGTTGCACGTGTCCTACTCACCTGGGGGGGCATCCTGAAAAGGTTCTGGTTGTATTTCATCTTTAGGTCCATGTACAGGTGCCAGGTGTAGTTGGCAGTGTATAGAAAAGAGGCGACGTAGAATATCTGAGAAATACAAACAGACAGAATTTCAGCCCTATACAAATAGCTCCTGGAGCACTTTCAGTTCGTCCCTGATGAACCCCAAGCCAAAGAGGCAGGGTGCCGAACAGCGGAGCCGACTGCCAAAGGTGAGGGTCCCTGCACAGCCCCTGTGCTCGTGCCTACTGGGCTGCAGTGGGACACAACTGGGAAGAGCCAGGTAGAGGAGGGGTTCCCACGTTAGACCGCACAAAGGCAGCTTTGCTTTGGTCTCAAACTGGGGACAGGAGAACTAATGACAGCAGGACTGTCTTAAAAACACAAATCTTTGTGACTTGGCTCATTTGTTGGCCCAAATCCGGGCAACAAAGGGTTCAAAGGCACTTGGACCCTCTTCTCTGCGCTACGTCCATTAGGAAACACAACACAGAAGCGTCACATCGATTTGCCTCTCGCACAATGACCTCACTACACGGCAAATTCACGGAAACTGAAAACAATAGTATACTTAAAGAGGAAAGTGGGGGCAGAGAATGTCTGCCCTAAGCCTGAGTGAACATCCCAAGCCCTTTTCTCTCCACAGAAAAAAGGAGTAAAGAAAAGATACAGAATGTTTCTCACAAAACTTCCCAGCCCTTGATTCCAGCTTGAGGTGAGACCGAATATCTAAAACCTCCTGTAGAAAAACAAAACAAAACAAATCTTTCTTGCATTTCTTTCTGAATCCACGGTTGCTCCAGGCAAAGTATAAACAGTGCTGCCTAATCACGCTGTGTCTATGCGTGTGCTGGGTTTGTTACAGGAAGCACATGCTGCAGTGGCAAAGGCAAAGAGGAAGGGCTGGACAAGCGAATTTTTCGGTGGATTTCCTATCCTTTGCCAAAGAGGCAAGGAGCACAGGTTTGCCACCCTGTTACCACCGAAGTCCAAGAAAGTAGTCACTAAACAAGCTTGGTTTCCTTCACTTCGGTTGGAAACGCTCTTGGCTGATTCTGAAGAGGCTGAGCCCAAGGGGACGGTCGCAGCAGGAACATTACAGTGACTTTCCAGCTCATTAGACGAGGTTTAATGAGGGTTTGTTGCCCTTCAATTACTTCCAGGGAAGGTCATCAAAACAGTCCACAAAGGTCGTTCTCATGCACTTCAAGATGCCTTAGAGAGGCTCATGAAATGTCAGCGCTGCCTTCTTTTTTGGAAGGGGGAAACCAAAAGCCACTTGTGAAGTTGCCAGCAGAAAGCCAAGGGAGTTCTGCTCTCCTGAGCCCCAGCTTTGGGGCTGTGGACAGCTTGGCAGTGCTCACCATGAGGAGATAAAGGAGGGGCTGGGAGACATGAAAGTCCCTCATTATAACACTTCTGTGGCTCCCCATTGTGCTCACCAGCAGAGCCTGCCAGGACATTATTAGGCCAATGGAACTGAACTGGAAGAATGTGGGGGAACTGTGCAATTATAACCACAATCTCTATTCTGGACTTTATTATTGTCACACAAAGGCAAGGCGGGGAGGAGGAGAGACCAAAGTCAAGGGACAGCAGAAAGGAGCAGTATTTACATTTAAGATCAACCAAGAGTCTGGGGCTGAAACAGGGAAAGTCCAAGAAACAAAGCAATCTCCTCCATTACGACTCGGTATGGATGTTAGGGGAGTTCCATCTGCTGTAATGTCAGCCCTTGGTGACAAAAGTGATGGTAAACAGGCTGAACCAGGCAAAATAGTGTCCTGCTCCTAAAGCAATCCCTTGAGACAACCACACGGGCTGTGGTGTGAGCCTCTCCGAGCTCTGCCGTCTGCAGGCACCGCTTCTGAGCAGCCCCAAGCCTGCCCTCACCCTTGTCGCTCGGAGCGTTTTACACCTTCCAGCTGTTGGTGTGCAAAGAAGCCCCGTGTGTTTATGAGGCACCCAGGGATGCCCCCCCTTGCGAGACTGCTCCGCTCAGCACCGGCAGGATGGGGCCGGGAGAGATTTACTCATGTCGCTGCGTTACAGATCACTTAACGCTCTGCAGAAGCTGCTGGTTAAACTGGCTCCCACTTACGCACAAGGTGTTCCCACCACGCAAGGGCATTGCTGGGTTGTTGGGTGAGGAGGTGTCCTGCACCGTGTCACGTGCGCGGTTGCTAAGGCAAGGGCTCCGTTTGTTTTAATTTCTTCCAGAGCAAACAGCAGCGACAGGTCTGGCCAGATGCAAGCCGGCTCTGCCACCCTGGCAGTCCTCCTGCCTGGGGGTGGGCTGCTGGTGGCACGCAGGAGAGAAGCCCGGTGACCCTGTGGCTAAGGTCGGGATGTGGCAGGCACCCTGCACACCCCACCCCAGCGCCCTGACTGTCCCCCCAGCCCGCCCTGGGGCTGAGGTCAAGGCAGGTCCTGCAAGGACTCGCCCAAGGCCAGCTCTGCCAACCCATGCTGCCTTTCCCAGGGTGAAAGCAAAGCTCCCACCTTGCCCCCATCCCTTGCTGGTGTCCCTGAAAAGCATGGCCACAGGCTGGAAAAGCAAGGGCAGGAAAGAGCCAGAATGCACGAGAACGTTGCATGCTCTCAGTATCTCTGCTGAGAAATGACGGCATGTTGTCTATACCCAATCTGCTCCTCTAGCAGTGCAACCCGGCTGCTCCAGGCCATGAAAAGATCACACCAGCATTAACAACTGTGCCCCAGGCAAAGCTGCAAGGAAACCGGCTCAGAAATACCCTCAGTCCTGCATGCTCCTTCCACATTCCAGCTCCAAAAAGCCTCTCCCAAGCTCTTCTCACTTTCCCCTGTACCAGCATCTAAAACCCACCTTTGAGATTGTTCTGCATCATTCCCAAGTGCCCAGGTCCCCCCCGCCCCACTGTTCCCTCTCTCCATGTGAACATACTGCGGTGCTTCCTCAGCGGCACAGGGGAGCGAGAGGAACCAGAGACGACCCAGGACGAGAACAGCTGCTCTCGCCACCACGAGTGTCACGGTTTTACCCACAAGATAAGGGGTTGAAACAACCCGGGGCTGCAGGCACCCATCCCCAGTGACACTTCCATGCCGCACACGCAGCTTCTTCCCTGCCCTCTCCGAGGTACACGGAGAGCCTCTGCTGCTTCAGCTGCTGCCACTCAGCGAGGACCTTTCGGTTCCCATCTGCGGGTACCACCACACTCCCAGGGAGCCACCCGAGCCCACACAACACACATCAAGGCTCCCGACAGCCTCTCGCTCTTCCCAGCCACGTTTTTGTTTGTTCCTTTAAAAGGAAACTGCTAAGCCCGCACATCACAGCTTGTGAACCACTGCTCTGGCCCAAGCTTGGCCGTACCCCACAGAGTTTTTTGAGAGCGGTGATTTGCAAATCCCAACGCTGAAATGGGAGCTCAGGGAGACAAAAGCAAACTGTCAGGAAAACGGTATTTCACTCGCTCCACTCCAATTAGGCTCCAGCACATGAAATCAGCTGGAAGGCAGCCGAATCGCTGGGGCACGGGGCTGAGCTTGCGCTGATGGAGCAGCTCCTGAGCATCCTTGGGATCGTTTGAGAGAGGATAAGGGCCAGGTCAGCAAGAGCAGGGCTGTTTATAAAAGTAATGTTGTAAGTCTGAGCTCAAGTGAATCGCAGAATATGTCTGTTCTTGCCCAGGATGGAGGAAGCACGAAGAGGAATAGAAAAGCTGCCGTGTGAGAGGCACAGAGATCATTGTCGGCACGGGTCCAACAGGAAACAGGTTAAGACCCATCTACTCCCTTCCCACAAGCAACCCAAATGCAGCAACCACAAAATCCCACGCTCTCTTTGCCTTCCTCATGGCCTCTCACAAACCAGGCGCACCTAAACCCGAGCATCGTTATCTCCGTTCTACACACGCGGCAAAGAGATCCGACAAGCCAAGTTCACACGGGCCGTCTCTGCCAAAGCCTGTCTCGAAACAGTCCCCCACGGCCACGCTCCGATCACCAGCGACGCTAATTAAGGTAATGGGAGCAAAGTAACAGCGTGAGTGGTGTTGCCAAGGCTACTCACTTGTCCTGCCGCTTGCAGGTTGTAGCAGACGAGGTCCTGCTCGGAGGTCGGGGTGCTGTAGAGGAGCGCCCCAGCGAGCCAGCACATGCCCAGGAGGAGGTCGGAGAGGCTCAGGTAGAAAAGCGGACGGACCTGGGAAAAGTGAAATCGGTCAGCAGGTCCAGGCGATGGTCACAACACTCCCCCAAGCAGTTTTTACCCCGTCGTCTTTCGTCCCCCAGCTCCTCTGGTAGGGCAGCTCTGCTTGCAGACAAACCTCATGCTGACTCTTGCTCTCAGGAGCTGTTTCAAGGCAGATACCCCACTCTAATCACCCTAGCACTGCCCCAGCAGCATCAGCTCTTACAGAAAATAGCTCAAAAGTCCAGAACGTTACAATTTTGCAGAATGGGGCAGGTTGGCAGGGAGAAGTGACGTTATTTGTCAAATCAACTGATAGAGAAATCAAGCTTTTAGTAAACACAAACCCTGCTTCAGGTCTGAAATAACTTGAAGCAGACAATCTTCCTACGTGCTTCACGTCATTTCAGTTGGTGACTAAGGCTGAATCTATTTTACATGCCAGATTAATTTTCGCCACAAGAGCCACAAGTCTCCCCGCTGCACACTGCATCTTGCTGGAACAGAGTCGCGTCTCCTCTGATGGCAGTTTCCAGCCCATTTCCAGTTTGCACGCACTGGCCAAGAGGACTGTAAACATTGAAGGAAAACATTTGTGCAAAATTCCGGCCAACGTTTTCGTTGTTAGCGGGAGAGCAGACCTCTGGAAAAGCAGCCTAATTATCTAGATTCTTAATTGTAGTCTTTGGGACTTAATTTTCAGCATCCTGGAGAGAAAATGATGGTTTTGTTGTTTCCCCTACAGGAAATGATAATGATAAACACAGCGTGGAAAACACTTCAGGAAGCCTCGATTTTAAGATTTGTTTCACGGAACTGAGCTTTTGGTGAGATTTGCCTCAATACTGTCCTTTAAGTCAATGTTTGCCACCTATCGTCGGGTTGTGTGATACTTGTCTTGTTCCCGCGAGCAACGAGCAAGAGCTTAGTAAGACTGACAAGCAGTAAGGTAGATCTGATTGAACCAGATCAGTCCTTAGGGCATAGTTTGAGGGAGACCTGCCTGGTGCCTTCCTGGGCCCTCTGCCTTCTGCAGGATTTCTCTCCTCCAACATCCTTGTCTTTCCAGTTCCGTATTTGTACCATCCAACCCAGCAACGCAGTAAATTAAACTCCTGTTGCTAACGAAATAGCTGGAGCTCGTTTGGACGTCATTGCGTTCACAAACGCCTTTTTTAACCAGGCTTTTCCTTGCTGGCGCAGAATTGAAGCCCTGGCCAGCAGCGACAGGCTGGGGACACCCTCCAGTTTGCGAGCACGGCAGCTTAAACCCAAACAGCTCCCAAATAAGCAAAGCAGCGGCTTTTGCAATCGCCCAGGTGACCCTTTTCCTCTAGCAACAGGTGTCCTCGGAGCGAGGCACCGCTGTTGGGTTGAGGAGCTATTTTGGCACAGACCTACACAAAGAAGAAGGTGACAGGGTGGTGAGCGAACGGCGGCACGGTTCTTACTTGCGAAAGGGAAAAGAAAAAACCCAAATGGTATTTATAAAATAGAGGAAGGGAATGTAAAGACGTAATGCTTCAGAGGAGCTGCCAGGCTGGAGCGTACATGTTGATTTAGCTCTGCCTGGCTGTTGCCCAGCGACATCTGCCTGCACAGAACCTGTTGACAGGACAGAGGAAATCCTGTGTTCGTTGCTTGCCATCATCTCTTCTGAATGATTTAGCTCAGGGTAAAGGGTTTTATTGACCCCGTAGAGACAGAAAATACGCTTCAAGAATGCAATATTCGATTTCCTAGGCTGGGGGCAGGAGGGGAAGTGTTTATAACATTGTTCTCCTCCCAGCCACCAGAGCTGTTTATTTTTAAACATTTTGCTCTGGAGCCTCATGACTCAGGGAATAAGCTGTTTGTGGCAAGCTTTGATACGGATCTCTTCCAGCCCCTTTGTTTACAAATTTCCACTTAAGACCAGAAACATGGGGACAGGGCGATGGGGAAGTTACTGAAGATTTTGCCACTTTTGAAACACCACCAACAGATTTCCCCTGGCAGTGGAACGAGAGCCTGGAAGCCCGATACAGAAAAGTCGCTCCAGCTGGTATCTATCCCTCCTATCTGGATTTGCAGAAATAATCTGAGCAGAAACATCTGGACTCCCTTGAGCAGGAAGGGTCCATCTGTGACCTGGAGCCACGCTTGGCTTCGCAAGCAGCTAGAGTGCAGTTCCCAAGCCACAGCCACATCATATGACTGATAGCACACGGGCTCCTGAGCAATGCAGGCTCCTAGCCGTGGAAGTGAACGGGTTGAAGCTGCTGAGTCACCTCGGGAAACCTGCCAAACCCAGCTCCGTACCATACCAGGGTGGAGGACCCCAGGTGAATCCCATGTCTGGAGCTCCCCAGGTGCAGGAGTTGCAGTCAAGGGAGCCTTTGATATGCACCTTGTGCAGCACAAGCCGAGGAAGATTTTCCATCCCAGCACTAAGATGAAGTCCCAGCCTTGCTTCCTCCCCAGGAACATACGGAGATCCCCACAGCTCATTCTCGACATGCTGGGCAGAAAGCTTCCAGCAGGCTGGCTGCCTGGCAGCAAGACTGCCCTCTGTGTTGTCAGGGATGAAAATTTGCCCTGCAAACCTGGACTCATGTTCTCCTCCCCACCTTGCTTCCTCCAACGACGTGTCAGTTGTCAGCTTGACTGCACGCCTTCCTTCTGTGCGGATAACTCCCTGCATTCCCTGGAAGTCCTGTTCTCTGGGCTGCAGATCAAACCCACGACGTACAAAGAATGTTGTAGATGAGGGAAGTACAACTACAGCTTTGTTACAACACAGCTGCCAGCTCTACTGTCCTGCTGCTCTTAGCAGTAACCTGCTATCTGCGTGGTCCACAGATTGGGCTGCCAGACCTCTGCAAATCCTGGACAACACACCCCAGTTTCACACCTGATCAGCTCTGTGCGCTGCCTCCGGTGAGTCCTGGACAGACAGGGGGGGACAGCAAAAGCCTGGCAGGCTTGGGATGGAGGTCTACGGTGCCACATGCCAGCCAACTGCTCAGCACATCTGATGTGTCCCAGACACACGGGGCTCCCTGCACACACGTGTGATGCACTGGGGACGTGCCAGGCACTGCGTGTGTGTCAGATCTGCAGCACACGTGCGGACGGTCCCACCCTGAGGGACGTTTGCACCCGAGTCCCACGGCTTCAGCATTAGAAACGCTGGTGGCTCCTGTGCAAGGTGAACCCTCTCAAGCCCCTCTCTAGAGTCCAGCACCACTGCCCGCTTTTCAGCCCAGCCTCTTTCTGGCTGAACTTTGCAGCTGCTTTGAATTTTATCAGTTTTAGTAGCGAACCTGCCTGGAAAAACTACTCAGAGACACCGAAAGACCGACACCTGCAAATACATTTCGTCCAGGGGCATCTCCAACTTGCTTTGTACACAGCTCTTCAGCCCTCCAGGCATTTTACCCCACAGAGGAGGTCACGCTAACAAATCCCTGTTCCCAGGAACGACTGGAGTACTTTCCCAGAGCAGCAGAAAGCACGGGGCTAAGGAACCTGCTTCTCCCAGCCGTGGGTACAGCTCAAGGTTAGTCCCTTCAGCTGCTGTCACAGACAAAGGGACAAATCCTTGGCAAGTCCAGCTGTTAAACAAGATTTAACCACATAAGCCCAAGACCCGCGGACGCTCCTAGCAGACCCACACAGGTCTTTGCTACGTGCCCAACCCATCCTCAAAGCACCAACACCTCGATTTAGGGAGAGAAACAGAGGTGCAGACCTTACCTCGGGGGACCGCACTGCATTTTGAAAGATGGCGTAGGCAATAATGGAGCTGGAACCTATAACACTGAGAAAACAAAGCGCAGGTTGGAACAGGAGCACATCCTCTGCATCTATTTTTTTTTTCTATTTTTTTTTTCTTTTTCACGTGAAAATCCTCATTGCAATAATAACTCCATGCCGGGGCCGAGGGTTGAGCAGCGCGTTGTACCTGAGCATGGCCATGGTGAACTGTATCCACTGGAGAGCCGAGTAGACCTGGGGAGAAGGAGGGGTGCGGGCTCAGCACGACGAGGACCCGCAGTCCCAGCCCTGAGGAGGGGTCGGTGTGTGCCCCCGGGGAGCCCCGGCCCTGGGGAGCGGTGGGTGCCCCCGGGGAGGAGCGGGCAGGGCTGG